CCAGAAGGACATTGGCAAGTCAACCAGCAGATGTCCATGGTCCTATTCATACATTTCATAAAGAAAGGACCTCAGCTCCTTTTTTAAAGGAACAATAAATTTGATAATGATATTTTTCCAAAAATGAGATTTGGAATGGCACAGCTAGTGATGCAAAGAAGGGAAAACCATCAGCTGTGACAGATTACTCTGCTGCAGACAGCCCATTAATGAACAGCTCTCCTTTATCGACCCCTGACACTCGTGTAGAGGAGTTCCCTCTCCCCTTCCCATTTTACACATGTTTCCATAGTATTCTTCTTTTCCCTCCCAGTGCACTCTGTCTTGTGTTGAAAACATTTATATGTAAAGTGGACTGATCATCAAGCTCTGGGGCTCTCTGTAGTCACTACAACAAATTACAAATTATGTGAACTGATGGTATGAAATGAATAATCTCTGCAAATGGCATGATGTACTGGCCTGTTTGCTGCATTAGTCAGACACTTTGCTTCAGTTCAGCAAAGTGCTGCCAAAAATTCTGACCACACCCAGAAAGAAACATGAAAATATTCCTCCCAGGAAAACAGAAAACTTATTTTAGTTAATTTTTGAAATGACATGGTAGCCAGCTAACTGGATTTGACACAGAAAGAGAAAAAGAAAGCAGTCTAACCCTCCTTCCTCAGAAGCAAATTATAAATAATTCAAAGAGTTTTTAAATTATTGGGCTATTACAAAAATGCAGACAAATGATGCATGTGTGCAACATATACAATTCCATGTGCAAATTTAGGGGTACAAGTGTGAAGAGATTCTAGACAAGCACATTGCATATTATTAATGTCTCCTTTGAGGGTTTCAGAATATCAGAAGGTAAAAAAAATGAAAGAAAAAACATCCATCTTAGGCCAAACACAGGCCCGGCAGAGACTTGGGCAGCCCTGTGTCCTGACTCAGAGATTCACCTAACAGATGCTTTGTAAAGAATATAAGGAAAGAAAGCAAATGCAGAGCAATCCTACACTTCCACACTCAAGCAGGCACTGTGGAGACTTTTTAAGCTGGAGGCTACATCTGGAGCTTGATTTTTAATAGCCACAGAGATGCTTACTGCTCAGGTGGTCTTTCTCTGCATGCTGAGGAGGTTCACCTTGTAAATGGAACAGAGGAACAGCCCCAGGGATTGCTCTAGGCTGATGCAGAAACAGCTACCACCTGCCCCTGCTCCTCCAGGGAGCCCCAACTTCGGGGCATAATCAGTCCTGGGTTCCTTTGCTGAGAAAGCCAACAAAAGTTATTATCATTAATATAAATTGTGGTGATGGACTCCCTAATTCTGTTCAGAGAGGTTATTATACAGCTATTACACTGCAACAAAATGTGACCACTACTGATCTGGGCTGGTTTGAATTAATGATCCAGAAATGAAAGGCTCTATATCCTATTAACAGTCTGCCAAGCAATGCCAAAGCCCATTACTTTGGTTTATTTGTAACCCGTCAGGAAGGACCCAATGCAAATCCAGATCTGGAGTCAATCCAGAGAAACTCGAAAAGGCATCCCTGCAGTCTCTCACATAGGGCAAAGGAGAAACTAGTGAGGAAACACTCATTTTCACGGTGTTTTGCTCACCCATATGCATGTTGGAGGGCGACGGTGGAAAGCGACTGGGGAGACATGAAGAGAGACTTGGACCCCCACTTTGCAAAAAGCATCTGCTGCACCAGAGCTGCAAGGTGTAAAAGCAAGACAGTTACCTTCAATTTCAGCTCTGGTCAGTGCACAACCATGTTTTCTACTTTGCTGGTAGCTGGCAAAAGAGGGGTGGGTTCAGCAGTGGCAGGTGTGCAGGCCCTGGTGTGCACCCTGGGGGCAGGGGACAGGTCCAAGTGGGTACACCCCATCACCTGCCACGTGCAACCCCTCTCCCTGCTGGTTGATTTGAGCCAGCAGGACCCTTCAGCTGGCACAGGGCCACCACAACAGAACGGTCCCATGGCATGTTTCAACCCAGCTCCCCACCCCAGTACCCACACAATTGTTGGTGCAGGGAGTGAAACTTTGGTACCAAGTGATAACTTTATGTTCTTGTATTAATTCAAGCAATAAAGTGATAAGAGAATACCAAGAATACTGTGCTGGCAGCATGTTATAACTGTGGGGCCATGTGCCGGTCTTGGCAGCTTGATGCCAGTGACTGCCTGTGAAATAGCCCAGGTAGGTTGTGCGTTGGGCTGGCAGCCCAGTCACGTGCAGCACTGCAGGTTTTCTATCTGCTTACTGCTGGAGACTGCAAGTAAGGATAAGCATACAAGTGAGCTGAGGCAATCTGCAAAAAAGAAATCACAACTTCCCTCCCCATTGTTACAATTTGATGTGAAAGCAGGAGGAGAAGGGGGAGACAAAGCAGCCTTTCCTCCAGGCCCCCTGCATCCTCTGCTCCTGAATGAGCTGATGCAACAGCATCAGCAACGGACTGTAGCCTTGATCCAGTCCAGGCTTTCTGCAGATCCCTACTGGAAGGAAGCCATTTTTCTTGAGTGTATTTCCAAGAAACAGTTGACAGCCTTGGCACAGCTATTCCTGGAAATGTTCAATAGGTCATCTTCTGGAAGAGAGTGCTGACTGATGGAATTGAACAGATCTTGTTCTGCGTGCTGTGCACTGCTCGCTCCCTCTCTTGTGATGTCTTGGCACTTGCCTTTACTCTGTGCCCAGGCCCCCCACTGCCTTGGCCTCCCGACCCACTGGCTTCAGAGGCACACCAGCCTGGGTCCAACCTGCTCTGCACCGAAGTGGCCACAGGATTCAGTGTTCTGGGAACTGTATTTCCCTTCTGGCAGCAGTGCCATGGTTGTTTTTTGCTGCCAGAACAATTGCTGCGTGAAGGCAAATGTCCCCAGCCTGTAAATTACAGAGCTGTCCCCTTTGCACACAAGCACCAGTGCCATGGAAATCTTGTGCATGTACAGAGACAGGTATGTGTGTGGCACTCGGGAGCATGGGGACATTGGCTGTCCTACTGTGCTGTCCCTGCTTGTCCCTAATACAAGCATATGCTAGAGAGGGGCTTTGAGCTTCCGTGTCATGTTGCTGTTTGCCAGCAGTGAGGAAGCTCAGGGTGAAGTCATGCTAGGAGGAAGCCTTTTAAGGTGAAGCACTCTGGTGAGGGAAAAACCCAAGATCCATGCTGGGTGATTTCTTCTGAGCTTCTCTTGTGTTTAATCTGTTTCTGGTGGTAATTGCCAAGGAAGATCTATTCCCTTCACTGTTTTTGGGGCGGATCCTGGCATCCCTTGCTAACTGAGGAAAAGGTCTTGAACAATGATCACGGCCCAACCTGAGCCAGGGCAGGTCAGGATGTCTTGCTGGCACTCCCACCCAGGATGAAGAAGTGCTGCCATGTGCCAGGACATCCCTGCCAGCAGCAATGGGGAGGGTCTGGGAGCAGGGACAGTCATTCAAACCTCTGTTTACCAGTTCTGGCATGTAGAAACTGCCAAGGATTGTGCCCTCAGGGAACCAATCAGGAGGAAAGTTGCTTCATTTTAGAAAAGCACGTAAGTTTGCTCCATGCAGAGTTCCACAGCCTGGTTCTGCAGTGTTCCAACCAGCCTGGCTGCAGACGAGGGAGAGCTCAGGACCCCACTGCATCTGAGCTTCAGGGTCAGGCTTGCCCTTCTGCCCACAATAGGTACTTTATTTCCATGTAGTTTTAGAATGGCTGGATGCTTTTAGTTCTGGCCTAGATAACGCCTGATCTCGCTGAAGGATCTTTGCTTCTGTAACAACACAGCCCAGAAAGTATGTGCTGTTACCACCAAGAGCAGCCATGTAATGCTCCCTGCCCCTGTCCAATGAGACAAGCAAAAGCAGGGCTTGTCTTCATGTCCATCCTCAATACTTGGAGGTGGGTAAAACCCTGGAAGTACAGCCTGGGTGTCTAACTAGGATGTGGCACAAAGAGCTGCCCTTGCCTCTGCATTTGGGTTGTGGCAATTCTGCAGGTTAAATACTATTTTTCTTCTGCAGTCTGTGAATGCAGCTGCTAAATAAAATTACTTTGAAACAATGTTTTGCAAGTTCTATGTTGTCCCACTTCAATGTTATCCACAAATGTACTTGCACTCTGATAGGAGTTAAATTTCATCTTTATCTGCAAAAATAGCAAGACCCTGTTTACTGGTGAGCGGTGCAAGGGGGTGTGATCCTGAGCTCACTGTGGGGTGCACCTGCTCTGCCACATTGGCAAAGCTGTGTTTTTACAAAATTATGCCTTCTAGTGTTTTTTTAGAGGCATTAATAAACATTTCAAGTCATCATTTGTTACTGACTTAATTACTGGTTGTCATCACTCAGTATTTCAAACAGCTGACAGTGAGAAACACCCTGTCATGAGCAGTATGCAAGAGGAACTCTTGAAAAAACAATCTCTAAAATAAAGGATGAGTCATTCAAAGCAACACTTTTTGGGGTCCTCGCCTCTTAGAGGGTGGACGTGCAGAAAAATGTGCAGAAGCCTTTTATCAAGCACTCATTCATTCATTCATTCATTCATTCATTTTTAAAAAGCTTCTCAAAGGCTATGTAATTTTCAGGAGCTCAGGGATGCCAGCAGGACCAGTTGCCATGCCTTCCCTGGGGTCTGGAGTTCCTACCCTGGCAGTGGAGGCTGCAATTCCATGGTCCTCCATTCTAGTGCAGTGTTGAGCAGTGGGAGGGCCTCCTACAAGAGCCGGCTTTGCAGAGCTGTGTCCAGCTGAAGAACACACCTTTCACCTGACCCTCCAGAGACCACTTGTCTTTATGCAAGACTTGCTGAGTCAGCAGGAAAAGTCACTTATGGCTAAATGCAAGTAGGTCAGGGTAAGAGTGGGAAGGGGTATAGCAGAAGGGGACAAGTTGTGGGGTTTTGAGTAACTGCAGGAGAACTGATTGTCCTCTAGCTGAAAAATAAATTCTAGCTTACAGTCTGGGACAGGATTCACACAGAAGATGTCTCTTTTAAACCACACAGTGTTTATTAATAGAATATCCTTTCCTAAACCTAGATTTCCTATAGCTTGGTGTCTGCTGATGGATAGCTAACAGTCAGTGTTGCTTTGTCATTTTGTTCAGAACTGTGGGTTTTTAGAAGCTGTTTAGAAACATCTCTCCCATTTTACTTGCCTGTGCGTCTCCTCAGTATCTAGACAGCTTGTGGCTGATAGTTCTCAGTGACTCACAGATAGAACCTATTAAAAAAAACTCCTTAGCAGTGACGCACCAGATGTGCAGTGAAATTTTAAAAACATGCTATGACTTTTTAGGAATACATGCAATTAATATTAAACAGATGCCTGAAGTTTCCTGCACAGCTGTTTCTCTGTTATGTGTCACGACTTTTAATGGCACTGAGGTGAGACACACAGACACGAGGAAAAGCAAGCCTATTGCAAATTCAAGCTTTTACAATTCTAGCAACAAAGGGTATAGGGGGTGGCGGGGGTGGTGGGGTGAAGCCAAGCCACTGAACTTCTCACAAGGCACAAAATGGAACATATTTGCTCAGCAGTGCTGCAAAGCAGACAGTCAAGTACTTTGGTCAAGATAACATATACAATCTATTGCTGGGCATTTTATCACCTTTGTTGGGCACCCTCATCTTTGCTGGTTTCCTCTGAAAGATATATTTTTGTAGCAGTGATCCACTCTGTGTTTTTACACAGCTGGGACTAGAACTCGAATACAAGGCTGCATTTAGTTTCAGAATCCCTCTTGCTGTGCATGAACTGTTCAGACAAACAGAGTAGGTATTTTTCCAAGGAAGCTTGTCTACCAAGCTTCAATTTCCTTTTATTGGATACATGAATCCTTTATTACCCCCAGAAAGGCCTCCCTGAAATTCACCTTATCAGGATGTCCACAGCTGGTGAGATGGCAGAATTAATGCAGCAGCCATCAGCATTGGCAGCCAGAAGCATCAGGAGGTGAAAACACCTTGTCTCAAAAATCGGTACTTTGGTGAGGGGTGGGGGCATTGATTTGACACAAGGGAGGGATGTCAATTAATGTACAAACCTATGGATGATCTGGGCATCGATTATAGTCACTGGGGTGAGAATTCATCTCATCCTAGGAAAAAAGCATGAGGAAAGGTAGAGGAATTGCACCTAAAAGGCACTGCCTTCTCTCCCTTGACTGTAAAAGGATGTGACAGGGATCAGCTCTGATGTAGGTGCCACTACAGGAGATGTCTAAAGTTAGATGAATTCTTTGGCTTTATAACACTAAATGTTTAGCCAAAGATAGTCTTCTATACTCCTTCAACAGTTAGTGGAAAAGAGACCCTGCTAGAAGATGTCATACACTTCTACCTGACAGGTGGGCTGAACTGCCTGCCAATAAGGCCCATCTTCATTCCGCTAGCATAAGAGAAGTGTAGGAGACATGCCTATCATTAGCTAAAAGTCAGTGAAGCTGGTGAAGGGATTATGTCAGGTCTCCATCTTATAGGGTTTCTTTTCTTCAAGCTCACATCCTCCTCATTCTCGACCTCAGTAAGGCCACAACTCATCTTTTGGCTGGCATGGTGCAAATATGTCCGTACCTTCACATTTCCTCGTGTATCTTTTCTGGCTCCAGAGATAAGCAGCTACAGTGACACAGGAAAGCCCCTGGAAGATAAGCAGTTCCAAAATAGATACTCTGTGGTCCCTTACATATATGGTGCACTTTCCCTTCCCACTGATCCATCCCATGGGGATCTCCTGTGGCCCCATATTTCTCCAGCAAGAGCTGCTATCATTCCCTGTGCCATTTTGGAGGCTTATTATAGTTCCGATATTTGCTTTCTCACTATTCATCATGCCTTCTGCAGAGACTCACAGCCAGTTTATCAGTTACCAGGAGCATGCTTCCTGGGCTGAAAAGCAATTTCCTTTTCTCCTCTTATTGCAGGAGCCTAAAGAGAGTTTGATTTATGCCATCAGTTTTAGATTTAAAAATCTTCAGCTTCACCTAGGTACATTTCCTGGAGATCAGCAATGCTTAGTATAGTAAGCATTTAGTAATGCTTAACAGATGAGCAATTCTGTTATGCATATGATCATCTCTCATACATTACGTCTGGATTTTTCCTACCATGTTAGTTATAGCCACTGTCAAACAGTGTCACTTTTCCTTTCCTCTTTCTCCTATCAAACTTATGATCCCAGGAGAGGTCACAGCAGTGAATGTGGCAACCCTGCATTTGCTTCTTCTTATTAGCTGCACATCTGGCTTACTATTGTGCAGCACTCCCACTTCGTTGCAGTAATAGCTCTTAAAAACACAAGTGTTCGCCAACATACTCATGCAGGAGAACACAATGGCATTACCTGAGAAATGTCTGCCAGGGAAGTGGCATTCACCACTGCATGGATGGCTTAAACTCAACTGTCGTTGGATTTCTGCAGGGCTCATCACAAGTGTGAGCCACTGTGGTTCACCCTGGGGGTCTACACAAACCCACACTGTCCATGGTGGGGGAGGCACAGTGGTACTGGCCATGCATCAGGCCCAGCCTAGGCAAACAGCAAAGAGGTGCTGTGAGGAATGAGCCTGAACACATCCTCTGAACTGGGCCTAGCACTCACCCCTAACTCTCTTCCAAGTTTGGAACAGGTTGCCCAGGGAGGTGGTAGATGCACAAATCCATTCAAGGCAAGGTTGGACAGGTCTCTGAGCAAACTAGTCCAGTTGTTTCCCAGCTGACTGCAATGGGCTGGACTAGATGGCCTTTAAAGGTGTCTTCCAACCTAAACTATTCCATGATTCTATCATTTTATAAAACTTCAGAGAACAGCAGAACAACCTACACTTCTAAGATGGGACAGTTGAGAGGGATTTTGAAGCAGCTGATACTTCTGTTGAGTTAATCTGGTTCCCAAGGAACCAGCTATTTTGGTTGCCAGTGTATTGAAGCAAGGCTGTGCTTTGACTCGCAGGCCCATACCAGAGTGGGGCAAGCCCCTCACAGCCTCAGACCAAGCAGATTTCTCCAGCCAGTGGAGTCTGACCTTCCCATGACACCCTCCAGCTCCACCAGAACTGCACTCAAGAGCTTGGGTATTTAGACCTGTCCCCAACCCACGGTGTGAAAACCATTAGGAGGACTTGGATGGGATGGCCAAGCCTCATTATCCAGCCCTGTATGGTGAATGTCCTGATACTGGCAGAGCACTCCTGTCCCCTGTGTGGTAGGACAGTGGTGGCTCTGCACCCCCTTGGCCCCTGCTGGGTGAGGGGCAGCCATGCTTAGAAGTGTTTGCTCTTGTTGGCTGTGCTTGGCCAAGTGCCTACTGGTGCTTCTCTCAGGGGATGGCTTTGCTTCATCACTCACGGCTTGTTACCTTGCCAGGATGCACACCTTGTGGGATTAGCTTTTGGAAATCACAGCTGGGTGCTCTGTGAGCAATGTCCCTTCTAACAGGAAAACATGTTAAACCTGGAGCCATCCTATCAGCTGGATTTCAGAATTAAATCTGATGTGTTGGCAGTGCTTGCCTCAGAAGAGAAAAATGAGAAAGAAAAATCCTGCTTTCTGTGGCATGTGCTGGCATCTAAAGACAGGGGACCAGCAGGCAGAAACCTGGGGCAGCACTAGGAGAGAGCTCTCTGGGAGCTCTGAAGCATATTCCCTTCCTCTCTTGACCCCCTTTATTCTTGTCCTCTACATGCTTATGCACACACGTCCCCCTCTGACGTGCTTGCTATTCCCTGGCTTTACCAGATGCACAACAGCTGACTCACCAGAGGCCCAAGCTGACATGGAAGCAGGGAAACCAAAAACTCCTCACAGGGAGCCCAGTCTGCAGCTGAAACAGAAATCACAGTCCTCAAACTCACAGCTAACTGGTCAGCCAGAGTTGGGACTTCATTTCCACTGTGATTTTCTCCAGATCTTTGTTATTAGTCTTGCCTGCTGATATTATGTGGTTCTTGCTTTAGACAACTAGTTTCAGGGGTTTAGTCGAGTTCCTTTATTCAGAGTTCTGTGAGACCCACATATTTGGCAGTGGGTGAGAAAACCTAAGTGTATCACAAGGACGTAAACCTCTGGTTGTCTCTACCAAGGCCCATGTTGACATGCTTTGTACCATGACTGAGAAGCACACCCATGCTTCTCAGAGCTCCTCTTTGCCCTGCAGAGGTTTTTGGGGCTCCCCACGCTTGCTGTACAATGGCTGCTTGCTTTGACAGCAACCCTAAGTGTGCACAATCTCAGGCTCACTCCGCCTTCATCGAACTTTGCTCACCAAAAGTCTGCATCACTCTACAAGCTGCAGTCTGAAGTGGTTTCTCAAATGTTGCAAAGTCAGGGCCAGAAATGGATAGCAAGATTATGTAATTATTGAGGCTCATTTCACATGCAGACATCAGACCCAATGTCACAGAGAGCCCAGTGAGAGGCAAGTAAAATTCCTTCAGAAGGTTTGCTTTCCCAGGTCCCTTTGTTTATTAATCCTGAGATTTTTCTCAGAAGTCTTTATTATCCAGAACAGGGGTGTGTGCTGTTTGCATGCCGCTTCTTGGAAATTACTGGGAGGCAACTTACTGGGAGGTAATTCTAGATGGGAATCTGAACCAAAGGTGTTGCTTAAGCATTTCGAAGAATAATTGAGCACTTGCTATGCAGTTTGTTTAATAACCTGAAAGACGGATTCTTATCAGAACTCTCCACATGCTCTAGTTACTCAATTGCTTTCTTATTTAAATAAAGCCTATCAAATATGTCCATAAAAATAAAAACACCTCATAAGAGGCAGTTTCACTGAGGTGTGCCTTCCCTAGATAAATTAAATGATGTATTTTTCTGCTAGTATGTCTTTATATGCTTTTTTTTTACAGAGGTGCTGTGTGCCTGTTGGGCTTTCAAGGGCAATGACTGTGCCATGAGTCCCCAGCACTATTCCTGTTAAGGTGCCATGGTGGCAGATGTGGTTATTAGCTCATCCTGACTGCTCTCAACCAAGTGGAAACATTCCCAGCCCTTTCCTGGAGTTCACAAGGTGAAGCTGGGAAGCTTCACCCTCCTGATGGAGAAAGTACCACTAAAAGATAAAAATAAACATTGAAGCAGTGTAGAAATCTCTGTGTGCTTGCTTCCTAGAGAATGGTAGTCAGTGTACATGTAAAAAAAAACCCCAAAACACCCCACTCTAATTTCCAAGGAGAACTGAATGATTCTCTTCAGGATACCACAAAATTAGTGGTGCAAAGATAGACAAGTGTAACAAATAACAATAAAATAGCTAATGATTGAAAACACAGTGAACAGTGACATGCAGAAGTCACAGGTAGTAGAATGATTGCACATTTTCAAAGTCAGAAGGGCTAATATTTGAGGACCACATCTGAGCTGCATGCCACTGGGCAGGCTTACTTAAGAGCTGCCAAATGACCAAGTGTAAGCATCCCAATGGCAGGGAAAAATTTCCTCTACCAGCACAGAACCCAAACCAGAGAGGAAGTGCTGGACCAATTCTGAATTTAAGAAAAAAAAGTGATATTGTTAACCAAAAATGAATCCTGACTCCAGAATTACATCTTCAACTAGGAACACTGCTGATGGGCAATAAGCTTGAGCAGTGCTCCCAGCTAAGGTATCGTCCCAACCTGCCCTGAGCCTGTCCATGGAGGTGACCCTGTCATGCAGGAACAGGACCTTGGGCAGTTAAATATTATGCCTAGGCACATATTCCTCAGGACTCACAAGAGAGAGAAGTAACTCAGCAGCCAGTGGAACGGCCTTTGAGCATACACTGCAAGGAGCTGTTAAGGAGGTCTCTGTGCATCCTCTCCATGTGAATGAACTTGTTGCTGGTGTGCTGAAGGTCTGGCTGTCATCCTGAGAACCCAGTCACCTCTCTGCACTAATCTCAGCAGCCACAGCAAAGCACAGTACCTACTTTGCCCCAGGGTCTAATGGGTTTATCCCTCTCATGGCCTGAGGCCAGTTCAAGTACTTGGCTCATTTCATCCTGCCTGCCCTTTCCCAAGTCTGACAGCAAGGGCTGGTTCTGTGTGGGTCAGATGTGAAAGTTGTAAAAAAAGAGGAAAAAAAAACCCAGAGACTTCTGTTACACTGTGCTTCTTTTGGGTCAGCAGTGGCTTTGCAACACTGATCTTAAGGTGGGAAACTCCACAAATGTATTAACAGTCTCCTGAGCCCCAAATCCCAGATTTTATGGATCATTCTCATTCCAAAACTCAAAATTATCTTGGTTTTGGAGATTTACCAATATCCTTTGCTGCATGGCTCCACTTTTCTGGTTGGTTTGTTTTTGGTTTTTTTTTTTTCCTTTTTCATGGCACTTACTTTGAAGTGAATAGTGCAAGGTAGCACTTGTGGCAGTGAAAAGAGGACCCCATAGCCTAGACTTCCTACTACATCCAGAAAACTCCCTTTCCTTTTGATTGCCTCAAATCCAAAAAGATTGCTTTTTTAAAAGGAGATAGTAAAAGTACCATGCTTCAACAGGTTCAAATTAAAGAAGGCCTAATCCAAAACACACTGAAGTTAATAAGAGACTTTTTGTCTCTTTGCTGTTGGGGCTTGGAGCAGATATCAGCTTCAGAAATGGAACCTGTATCACCTACAGATGTTTTAATGAAGTCTCTTCCTGCAGAAGAGACAGGAATCTTCCTGTGTTATCATCAGCACTACCCACCAGTTTCAAAGGGAAATTGCAATTAATCTTTTTTAACAAATAAAATGCTAGGTTCAGAAACGAAACACATACTAATTTTTTAATCTGCTTATTTTTGTTTCTGTAAAATGCTCGTTTTTCTCAGGTCATCAATTAAAAAAGACACTGCATTCAGGGGGAAAAAAAGCCAAATCACTAGATTTATTTTAGATCTTTAGATCTTAGGTGACAGTAAGACACCTTGAAAGTTAAAATTCTTTTCATTTAGGGAAATCTGGTCAAAGATTTTGAATATTCACTGTAAACAGACAAAGGTTTTATTAACTATCTTTTTAGCTCTACTTCTACTATGTCTTGACATTGGTCTATGTTTATGGAGAATATGGAAGCTTATAAACAGATTAGCTCTCAGAGACTGTTTTCCTTTCCATTAAGAAACAAAATTGGCAGCATGACCACATTTAGCATGAGATGAGCATGCCTTTTATTTTCTTTGTATATAATATGACATTGTTTATTTTTTCAGACTTTTGCAAAATGTTTTATTCCATATATTAATGACTGTCATAAAATATGACTCCAGATGGAAATTTCCCCCACTATATCTGGGAGAAGTGGCTCACAGATGACTGCATTTTCATTTTACGCTCCAGCCACTCTTAAATGTTGGCAGTCTGACATGCTTTTACCCTGAGAAAATCCTTCCTTTGTGATCATTCATATAGCTTATGCAGGTGAGAATTAGTGCTCTTAGGTCTTGCCTATTGCCATGCTAAGTGTCCACCTGTACTTGCAGAGTACAAAACAGGTTTTTTTTAGTTTTAGTTTTTTAGTAGAGCTTCTTCACAACTTAGCAGAGTTAAATGGGATGTCTAAGTCTCCTCTGGAGACCAAGCAAGAAAATCAATGACAACTTCTTCCAAGGACTAGAAGTTATGCCATCTGTTTCAGTGGAAGCTCTAGCAGTGGCCATATTTATTCTCTTCTGTCTTGGACCTCCTAAACTCTGCCACAAATAAGTAGATACCAATAATACCAGTTTCACTAGCGAGGATTTTTCCTCGCTAGTATTTGGTTAAGAAACCTGATCACATCAGAGAGCAGTTCTGCTTGCTCACCTTTGCCAAACTCACGTCCATCCCAAAGCCCAAAATGGCTGCAGGCCTCACCACAAGTGGTGCAAATGGGGTTCCCCTGGGAGTCAGCCTGCCCCCTGCACCAGTCCTGGATGCACAGTGGGCAGGGAGGACAGGAGCCCCTGTGCAAGTCTCCTGTCATCACCCAAACTTTGGCACAAGGGAGTTTGAGGCAAAGGGAGAGATGAGGAAACTCACTGAGTTGCCTCAGTCCTGAGCAACACTCAAGTCACAGGCTTGTCCACGAGATTTAAATAAATAACATTTGGTCTTAAATTAGCAGAAAATAATAAACATTTTAAGGTCTTCTGAGTGTTCTATGAGAGAATAAGAGGCCTTACTATACATCTGAAGAATTAAATTGTCTTAATTGCATCCTTGTGCACAATAAAGCATTACATACAGAAGAAAAATATTTTTAAGTGGATGGAAAAATCCACTGGGTTAAAGGAATACTACTGTCAGTTAAATGTATCCCCGCATTTGTGTAGTGCAAAAACAAGCTTTAATAAAAATGAAGAGTCTAATAGGAACATTTCAATGAATTTAAAAATATCAGCAATGGAAACAATCTCATAAAACAAGTAAACCTCTCCCTTCAATATTTGCAACTCAAGTATTACAGCATTCATTTAGGCCCTGGGAATGTGAAAGCAACTATAAATTATTAATTATATGCTTTGCTCTACAATATGAGAGGCCAGGTTTTATAATCCTTGTCTAGCTGTGGCTCCTATAATTTTAGTACCAGGTGCAAGGTTTGTACATTTAGCCCACCTAAAGAAGTTGGAGAAATTACCTGATATGACACTCACCCATCTGGTTTCCAGAGGCCCATAGTAGATACTCAGATAGATACCTGGCTTGAAAGGAAGCCTTATTTGGCATGAAATTTCATATCTACTGGAGGTTGTTTTCTTAACCATTAAAAATACTCTAAGTATATTACTTATGGATAACCTGACATTGGCCAACCATATCCTGGGCTGCATCAAAAGAAGCATGGCCAGCAGGTTGAGGGAGGTGATTCTCTACCTCTTCTCCACTCGCATAAGACCCCACCTGGAGTGCTGCTAACAGCTCTGGAGTCCACATACAGGAAGGACATAGAAGTACTGGAGTGAGTCCAGAGAAGCACCATCAAGAGGACCAGAAGGCTGGAGCACCTCTCCTATGAGGAAAGGCTGTGACAGTTGGGACTGCCCAGCGTGGAGAAGAGAAGGCTATGGGGAGACCTTATAGCACTGTTCACTATCTAAAAGAGGCCTACAAGAAAGCTGGAGAGGGACTTTTTACAAGGACATATAGTGATAGGACAAGGAGGAGTGGCTTCAAACTGGAAGAGGGCAGGTTAAGATTAAATATTAAGAAGAAATTCTTAATTGTGAGGGTGATGAGGCACTGGAACAGATTGCCCAGATATGTTTGGATGCCTCATTCCTGGAAGCATTCAAGGCCAGGTTCGATTGGGCTTTGAGCAAACTGGTGTACTGAAAGGTGCCCATGGCAGATGTGTTGGAGCTAGATGATCTTGGAGATTCCTTTCAACCCAAACCATCCTATGATTTCATGAAATAAAGAGTATGAAATGCAAAGCTCACTCAGGGAAGAAGGTACCAGGGTCATGTGAGTGTGCCCACTACATTGCTTTACTGCCCAGACTGGTTGCCTCCTTGAAGCACTGTGCTCATTCTGGGTTAACTGGGGATGAACTGCCTCGAAGGGCCAGACTGTGTTTAGACTTGGTCCTTGTTGGTTCAGAGCAAGGTAAGGTACTTACATTTATGACACTGGGAGTCAACTTCTTCCTCTACATCACATTTGCAATAGTTCCTCCTGTCAACGATCTCTAGCTTTTTTTCCTCCAAACTGCTCCCAGGAAGGGTGCTTTGCCTCTCTTCCCTAATATGCAAACCATGCTCCTGTCAATCTCACTGTCAGAATTGCTTCAAAGTCCTCATCCCACTCCCTGGGCTGGGCTGTGCTCATACGAATTTGCCAAATGTCTGTACACCTGCTCTGGGATGGTTTTCCACCTAAAAAAGAACATGTTGGCATTAAAGCATCATGAAACAGAAAAAAAATAAAACCTAAACCCTAAATTGATTTACCTTGTTTATCTGGATTTTTTTGATACAGTTAATCGCTGGAAGTAGGATATGCTTAGTTAAGCTCTGAGTGATGTATAACAGTATCACAATTACTGAAGGCCAGAGCTCTATACAGAAGATTAAAACCAAAATACTACCAGATTGCTTCAGAACCTGCAGGAGCCAGATCCTGCCAGAACATATTTTCTGTTTCCTTGCTTCTAAAAACCAAGGCATAAAGGATTTCTTTAAAATCTCTTTGTCTTTTCTAATTTCCCATGTATTTCAAAGTGTGCATATAAAAAGAACACATTTTTAAAAATTAAAAGCAGTGAAGTTCATTCTTGCCCCAGTAAAAACTTCAGACAAGGCTGTTAAGCTGTGAAATTAGAGCAAATTTTGCAAAATGGGAAGTTCTTTGGCAATGACTCTGTAGATGAAACAGTCTAAAGTAACTTGCTCATAAATGGACCTAGAAACTCAGCATCAAAATTCTGTTCTTCATTTACTGTACAGCAAACTGCTCAGGGAGAATTAAAATGTATTTTGCCTCTTATCATTAGGCCTCAGAGAGCATCTGGTCACTCCCATTGCCTTTGGGTATCCTTCAGACTGATCCCCCCTTGCCTGGTCAGCAAAGATCTCGGTATTTTTTTCCAGCAGGAATAAAATCTCCATGACAGAAGAGAAGGAGAAGAGCAAAGCTTCACTGTTTTCCTGCATAAAATCCTATCTTCATGGGTGGCACAATTACACTAGCAAAGAACTGAGGATAGCAGTGTCAAAGCTGCCCCCACAAGGTGCAGAAAAGCTGATAGAAAGCAAATGAGCCTGGTGGATGGCTGGAGGGAAGCTGGAGGGAGAGGAGTGGGAAGTTCACCTTGACCAGAAAGGACCTACAGAATCCACTACCTTGCTGGGTGTGCAGTGGTCAGAGCAATGTGCTATGGATGCTTGACCTCACCATGAAATAAGGTTGCCTGGATACCGAGCACAGTTCAAAGACTCTGCAGGCACCTGAGGTCTCCCAGTTTATTAGCAGAGACAAACATGGACAACTTAGAAGTTGTCTCCTTTTTTAGGCTGCTTCTTGTTCATTTTACCTGGTTCTTGCCTACTTCTGGTCACTTTTCTACTGTGTGTCTTCCCTGAGAACTCCCCACCTGTGACAAGGCATAAGCACATAGGGCCTGCCTGCAGAAGCCTACACCCATTAAATTATAATGGCAGAAACCCCCGCAGGCACACTACATTCCTGCTACTTCCACTTAGGGCCTTTTTCAAAGGCAGACCAAAGTGGCAGCCATCTATCCTAGCAAGAAATTGTACGTGCTGAAACTTTTATAAATGTGAATTACAATAACTGTTGTAAAATTGTTAAATTAGTAATGGTGATTAGTCTCATTTCTTGCTATAATATCAGGGAACTAGCATGAAACAGCAGTAAAAAGGCTCCTACATAGTCCAGAAAATAAGTTAAACCAAGTCTTACTCCCTCAGTGAAATCAAAAACCTTGCTGAACTCACAACACTCCCGCCTGCTTTCAAGAACTTTGTCACCCTATATCCCCACTGAAAGAGCACAAAAGGGAGCAGGAAAGAGTGATCCATTTTTTAATGCCTGCTAAAAATTAATCTGGCATGAAAAGAATTACAAGTCATAAGATGCCACAGAAAACTGGAATGTTTAAGCTTAATAAAATCACAGTTCCCAATCCCACTTTTTTTACAGCTTGAAGCATCTGATCTTCAACATACATTTCCATCCTCTTCACTTAATTGAACGAAATACGTGGATGCTCTGAATAAATAGCATGGCTTCACTCAAGCATGTAGTGTATCACCGAAGGATCCACTTCCTCTGCCATCAGACTGGAGTGCAGACTTTGGATTGTTGCTTTTTTCCCCAAACGCTGTTTCCACAGGACAAATGCAGCTACGATCTGTGACTGCAGGTTGTGAGGGTGATTGACTTTACATCGATAGATGTCAGTATGGGACAAACCCAAGCACAGAGCTACATGCTCCCATTCAGGCCCCAGCCTCCTCGCCAGCTTGTTCAGCTGCTGATCTGTTGGTGACAGCTTCAAAATGCACGGTGCAACCTCGGTTAAATCTGTAAAAGAGGAAAAAAAAGAAAGAGAAAGAAAAAGCGTGTGTGTCACTAGGCAGTGCTGCAAACGTTAATGGGAGACCTTGACAAAGGAGAGAATAAGCATGAGCAAAGTTGAAGCAAAATAATTAATTAATTAAAGAAACAGAATACATATTGACCTAGAAAAATTAATTACATAATCAACCAGAAGATTAATCAGAGGAAAATTAATGCTCAGTAGACCATACTAGGGAGCCTTGTGGTTTTGAATGTCAGTAACCCAGACATCAGAACTGTACACCAAAGCAAAAACTTCCAAAAGTAATTATAGATTATGGGGTAGTGAACAAGAAAGGTTTTCAGGGAACCTGTTTCCAGCAGCCACCATCCTCAATGTGCTTGCACCAGTATGATACAGTGACAAGTGACAAACATGGGACCAATAATACCTTATTACTCCCATTCTGGGACTCCATTTATACACTTCAGAAATAACTTTGATTCCTTAGGTAATAGGCATTACACTTTTATTTTTTTCCTGAGGGTTGTTCGCAGGAAATTCTGACCTAAGATGCTACTTACCCTTTCTGCCCTGTCATATATGGCAAACTCATCTTGAGGAGACCAGCGTTGAGGGCTTTTCCTCTATTTGAATGAATCCATAAGCATGGTTCAGGTGAACCCAAATGAACAGGGCATCAACACTGTTCACAAACAAAAATTATGCTTCCTTATTCCTCGGATCTTGTAACACTCCTGAAATCAGGCATGCATGTGCCACAGCTCCATGCATCTGACCTCCTTGAAGATGTTTTCAGGAGAATGCAAGGAGGTCCCATTTTCCTCTGAGATTTTTGCCTGATGTTAAGTCCCTTTGGATTGTCCACGTGCCCAAGAGAATGCACTCTTCATCCAAAAAGATGCTTCACATTCAACTGGTACCTGAGGAGAACAGGATCAATACAACTACCAAAACAGTCTTCACAGGAAGCATTCAGATAGCTGTAATTACCAGCAGTAAAAATCTTGTAGGGACTGAATCAAGCTTTTCTTGCATACACAACCGATCTCTTTATATCCCTAGGATAATCTGATAATTAAAATAAAACTCCAAAAGTATTAATACAAACAGCCAAGTTAGAATATTCAGAAACATGCTGTGTGGGATCCAGCTCACCTAACTACAGGTAACACCTCCTGAACTAAATATGCTAGGATTAATTATTGTTGAGAAGAGAAATAGACTCTTCTAAAATACAAACCCTTTCACTGGAAGGAAGATGTCTAAAATAATCAGATTAATTAAACATCTCTAAATGTGTACATTTCTCTCCACTGATTATAAAAGGAGCATTGGGTATAAACTCAAATATTGATGTTGATGCTGTAAACAGCCAGTGACAGCGAAATGATTCTCTGCCTATAAGTCGAAACCATATGCCAGCCTTTAAAAAGGTGCATTTAGAAAAGCAGCACAAAATACCTACAAAGCATATTTGTTCTTTGATAGCCTTTGTGATCAAAAGCTGAAATGAAGAGTAAATGCAATCTGCAATTGCTGCTCTACTTCTCTTGCTGAAGATACTGCAAAAGAAACACAGGCAAAATATCCCCTTGAAAAATGCTGATTATAGCCTGTTGGTCTGAAGCAGCAGACTCCCTACAGAAATGCCACTTTGCAAAATCTAATTTATAGCTCCAATATCATGCTCACAGTCTCCACTACAGCAGAACAGAAACTCCAGAAAGCACCATTCCTTCCTTTTATCAAAAGTAATTGTTTTTGCATAGAAGACCCAGAGCCTGCAAATGTTTGCACAATCTCAGCCAAATAATACACAAGAACTACACAAAGCTGCTTTGAGTAAAGAGAAAATTGCTTTCTGAAGAATATTTAGGTCTCTTTCATCTTTCTGTCTCCGGACTACCAAAGGAATCTGGGGCAAGTGCTAGTTTGTGGATAGGGCAGAGGATGCACAACTTCTGAAGAAGGCTGAGCAATACCTGTGGGGCTGCCCTGTGCTGTCACACCAGATGTGATACCAGTTTCACAGGCAAGTCAGGACACGGTGGTGTCTTTCATGAATGCAAATAGTTGAGAATAAAATAAATATAGCTACACTGTGCTGTCACCAACAATACTTTTTGATATTAAACCTTTTCTTTGACTTATGGTCAGCTACTGTGTAGCCACAGCAGTAATACCTGCCAGCCTGGGCTTTTTGCTCTCCCACTGAAGTTTTCATATGTCACATCCACTAGCAGAATGATTTTATGATACTGAAATGTGATCAAGCAGGATGACCTAACAATAATACATGTCAGCTTGTCCATCCAGCCTTTGATATAATCAGGCTTTCTTACTACAACAAGTATCTTGCCTTCAGTCTGTTATCAGTCCTTTAATAAGGATCAGAATAAAACCCATCCAGGAGGTCTTTTCATCTTATGCTACCATCTGATTCTAATATGGATGTGGAAAACTCTGGGACAGAAGCCAAATGTTAAATTTAATACAAAGGACTGGTATTTCAGTCTCATTTTATTTTCTGTGATAGCTCATTTTCTGCTCTGATACAAAAACATTGAGGAAAATTGGAGATAAATACTACATGACAGGCAATGTTATTTAGAGGTATAGAGAAATATTTAGTGATATCTTTCAGTTATGACAAATGCAAAATCACAAAAAGATTTGGATATGCTCTAGGATTAATGCTATTCCTAATTTAATAAACATAATGGCATTTGAGGTGAAATAGAAATGAGTTCTCTGTGCTCATGCCCAAACTGCTTTGAATATATTGCAAAAATATTAAAGATACCTTTTTTTAAGCTATGTTTACTATAAACTCTCATTTATAATCTTCACTTGTCAGGAACTGCCTGAGGGAGGTAATGAGATTAGAGCAAAAGTTTCAATTATGCAGATCCTGCAGTTGCATTTGAAAGGTACTTTTAGGATACTGAGACCTCATTTTTGAAAAAAAAAAAAAAAGGTCAAGTTTTTCTTGCTCTAGGTGGGTCTGATGAGTAGGTGTACATGCTTCCACTTCCATTTAGCAAAATGAGGACTGCACTGTTAAAAATGGGAAGATGTGGAAGAAGCGGGGCTTGGGGCACCACCAGAGGGTGTTGAGGGTTGCTCTGGAGAAGGCAATTTGTGCTGCTGTCACCTCCAGCAAGAGCACCAAGTGAAACACTCTGTCCAGCTGTAAGGTGCCACAGCCACACGCTGCAGAGATTTAGAGGCTGAAGTCTCGCTGCTAATGCTGAAGCCACAAAGCAATGAGACCCTGAGCAATGAGGAGCCAACAACTCTGTGCTGGGGAGAGAGCCAGCCTGGTGCAGAGCTGCTCTCCTGGGACCACCAGCCAGCTGGTTCTTGGGACCATGAAAATTCCCTTCCATGAATTGGAGGAGATGGTTGGAGATGGAAGGACACTCTCCACTCTGCTTGTGAAGCTGAAACTGACCCAGAGAAAGACATGTGGCTCCTTCTATTCAAAGCTGTAGCACAAGGGAATGTGCTTCTCCCCATCCCTGGTGAAGGAAGCTCATCCACACCAAGCTTTATCCTAGTTGTTCCAGTTAAAATCCAGGAGATGTTGACTGCTTCTGGCCTGTTTGTACATCTGTACTTCCAGACCACTGCACAAACCAAGAGTTACAATGGTGCTGGTAAGTGTGGACAGGAAACAGAGCTGGATATAAATAGTATCACAGATACAGACCAGACAAAACAGTCACCCAAATACTAAAACCACATGGGGCAAAGGCAGACAGTCACCATTTTGCATTTCTTTTTCTTCAGAACCTCTATAGCTTTAAGTAGGAGACTCCAAGAAGATGCTGGAAAAATCAGGGGAACGGAACACAAACTCACCTCAGCTGTGTCCCACTTGGCACAAATGACAGGATGTAAGATAAAGCCCACACAGGAGACAGCAGCCAAAAGGGCTGAGGTATTTCTGCGTGACCTGAGAAGTACTCAGTTGATTCCTCAGAACTGCTGGGGCCAAAAGTGCCTTACAGTTTTATCTAAAGGACCCTTCCCCATGTACGTGTGACTTCTTTGTGCATGACCAAAAGCATTTGTCAGAGTTTCAGAGAGACTTCTCCAATGCAAAGTCAATACATTTTAACACAAACCCAACTTTTTGGCTTTTGCTCCCTACTGGGTAAAAGGGGCTTGGATGGAAATTGCACCTGAATCCAAAGTACTGAAAAAGTCTCAGTCAGTTGTCGCCTAATTGTACAAGAACAATGCCACAGGCAGTTCAGGGGTCAATTGAAGAGTCAGGGATATATTATGGCCCATCTTTTATCTAATAACTAATAAATCTGTCTTTTGGGAAAGGTGTTTCTGCAGACTGGCCTCTGCGTCCAGCACTTCCTCTGTATTTTATCCACTTAAAGGACCATGTACATACTTATTGGATAAGACAGAAGGAGCCCTGGAAGAGAAAATGGGAATCTCTGAGCTGCACATTCTACTATTGAGGTGCACAGACATAGTCCATTTCTCTTGGTAAATCATTACAGAAAAAAGATAAAGACATCCCTGGGAAGGGTCAAGAATGCTTCCTAGCCTCCAGTACAGCACCTGCTTGAGAGAAAACTCTCCTGGGAATCAAGCAGTATGCTGAAATGAAGCATGCAAGAGCCCTTGGCAGGAACAATGCTAGGAAAATGCTCTAATTTTTATATAATCACATCAGAAACATGTCGGAGAGTCTGGTCTTCAGACCCTGCATAACTGGAATGGGACTGTGAAGAGGAGTAACTGCTCGGGCATGCATCTGGCCTCAGCATCTCCCCCTGCTAGGTGTATGGAGTCCTTCGTGATCTGGACGCAAGACACTAACTGTTCTTCACTTAACCCTCTTATCAGATCCTCATCATGATTTCTGAAGAGTTCAAAGCAAACATTTCAGAGTCCTCTTTAATCATCTTTTCAGGCATCTGGAAAACAGTTCTTCCCTGAGAAGTAGTAAAGTTAGATTAAGAGGTTCTACAAG